GAAAGATATATGGGAAAAAGTATAAGACTATTAAAAGACAAATTAGTGGTAAATGAACACTCTCCAACCCAAACTAAAGGAGAAGATTATATATGTAGAGACAATGGAAAAACACCCAATTGGACCTTCACTGTTTCCTGTGAAAATGGGTCCTTTACGTCTCATAAAACGATCCACACAGGGGAGAAGCCATATAAGTGCATAGTGTGTGAAAAGGTCTTTACTCAGCAGTCTAATCTGAATTCCCATAAAAGGATCCACACAGGAGACAAACCATATAAATGCATGGAGTGTGGAAAGAGCTTTACTCAAAACGGTCATCTTACTTCCCATAAAAGGACCCATACAGGAGAGAAACCATATAAATGCACTGAGTGTGCAAAGAGCTTCTCTGAAAATAAATCCCTTATGAGACATAAAAGAATCCACACAGGGGAGAAACTATATATATGCATGGAGTGTGGAAAGACTTTTACTCGAAACAGTAATCTTACTTCCCATAAAAGGATCCACACAGGGGAGAAGCGATATAAGTGCATGGAGTGTGGAAAGAACTTCTATGAATATAGATCCCTTATGAGACATAAAAGGATCCACACAGGGGAGAAACCATATAGGTGTACAGAGTGTGGAAAGAACTTTACTCAGAAGGGTCATCTGAATTCCCATAAAAGGATCCACACGGGGGAGAAACCATATAAATGCATGAAGTGTGGAAAGAACTTTACTAAAAGCAGTTATCTTACTTACCATACATGGATCCACACAGGGGAGAAGCCATATAAGTGCATGGAGTGTGGAAAGAGCTTTCGTACTAGGAGTGAATTTACTTCTCATAACAGGATTCACACGGGAGAAACCATATAGGTGCACGGAGTGTGGAAAGAGCTTTACTCAGAAGGATCATCTGAATTCACATAACAGGATCCACACAGGAGAGAAACCATATAAATATATGGAGTGTTGAAAGAATTTTACTAATAGCAGTCAACTTACCTCCCATAAATGGATCCACACAGGGGAGGAGCCATATAAATGCATGAAGGATGGAAAGAACTTTACTACTAGCAGTGATCTTACTTCTCATAACGGGATCCACTCAGGGGTGAAACCATATGAATGCATGGAGTGTGGAAAGACTTTTACCCAAATGAGTAAATTAACTTCCCATAAAAGAATCCACACAGGGGAGAAGCCATATAAATGCTTGGAGTGTGGAAAGAGCTTTACTGAGAAGGGTCATCTGAATTCCCATAATAGGATCCACACAGGGGAGAAACCATATAAATGCATGGAGTGTGGAAAGACTTTTTGTTGAAACAGTAATCTTAGTTCCCATCATAAAAGGATCCACACAGGGGAGAAGCGATAAAAATGCATGAAGTGTGGAAAGAGCTTTACTACTAGCAGGGATCTTACTTCCCATAAAGGGATCCACATAGGGGAGAAACCAGATAAATGTGTGGAGCGTGGAAAGAGCTTCAGGAGGAGGAATGACCTAATTTCCCATACACAGATCTGTTTGGGTGAGAATCCATGTAA